CATATAATTGGCATGCCATGGTGGAATCTTAAGTTTCTAAACGTCCTTGCCGTTACTTCGACATGATGCATAATTATTACCAGTGACAGGAAAGTAAACATTTGGATACCCAAAGCAAATTTTCTGCCCAAATTAGTTTTTATTCAGTTTTCCACCTCTATGACAGAAATCGTCTTTTCATTTGCAAAATTTGTGTACTCTTAAAAATGCATGGAAATGGGAAAGAGTGTTTTCTAGACGAGGCAAGAAACATTATTACATAAAATGTGTTTTAGAGAGTGTAGAAAAACAAAACTATGATTTCAAATTCACTACACCGTAAATTGTTCAAACACTAAACATTTTTTTCTGAGACAGGGTCTCATGTAGCCAAGGCCAACCTTGAACTTCCTATATAGTCAAGGATAACCCAGAACTCCTGATTTTCCTCTCTACTTCTCAGGTCCTGGGATTATAGGTGTTTACCACCGCACCCCGTTCTGCTATGTTTGAGATCAAACCCTGGACTTCACACATGCTAGGCTGGATCTCTACCAACTGAGTTGCATCCTCAGCCCCTAGAACCCTGAGTTTATAAAGCTAACTCTGCAATGTTACTTTCTGGATTGCGCAGCCAGCACTTGGGAGGTGGAGGCCAAAGGATCCCAAGTTCAAGGACATTCTGTGCTACACAGCTATTTCAAGGGCAATCTGGGCTATGAAAGACTATGTCTTAAATACAAATAGATAAATACAGTTCAGGGCTCTAGAAGAGCTCCCAAGGGGCAAATAGAAAAGGGAAAGGAGTACATTGGGGAGGAAGGTTGTTCTTAGTCTCAGCACCTCTGCGCGTGGGCTTCAGACTGTGGGTCACTTTTATGGTCACATGAAAAGGCATTGCAGTTCCAGCAACCCCACAGCTGTCTTTGCTCTAAACTGAGCATCGATTCATTTCCTAAGCTTTGTCCTGGGTTAGATAAGGGTGTCCCCTCCCAAATCGTGTTGAAACTTAACCCTTGTTGTGGCAGTAGTGGGGGGGGGGGACCATGACTATTGGAAGTTGACTGAGTCACGAGGGACAGCACCTTCAAGAATAGATCCTGGACCTTTCTAAAAGAACCTGTGGAAACTGGGGACAGCTCAGTCACTGAAGTATTTATTTGAAACATGAGGACTTGCAGTTGGTCCCCAGAACCCATATAAAAAATCTGGACAAGGTAGTGAGTAGCTGTAATGCCAGCGCTGGGGAGATGGCAGCAGGAGGAGTCCTTGGGCTCACTGGACATCCTGCCACCTTGCTTTGGGAGATCTAGGTCAGTAAGAGACCCTGTCTCAAAGAAGCAAAGAGGTGCAGAGCTTAAGGGAGTACAGGAATGACACGTGAGGCTGTCTTTGGGCCCCCACATGCACTCACACGCATCTCCACATAAACATATTACCACAAGTGCACACACATGTTAAATAAATTCCTATTCTTTAGAAACCAACCATTCTCCAGTATTCTATTCCAATAACACAAACGGGCACTGAGAGCCTTCCCAAATTGCCTTCCAACACTGCTTGAACACGGGGAGACGAATAGGACAAGCTTTTACTTGAGAAGCTCACAGTCTGTTCTAGTCGGTGAATGTCTTACCTCACGCCACCCCATTTACCGAAGCTAACTCACAAAATCAAACATGAAAACTAAAAGTTTGGCAGAAAACACCAGAGAAAGCCTCCGCATCCTTGGGTTAGTAACCAAACGGTTATTAGGTCACACCACTAAAAGCATGGACCATAAAAGAGAAAAAAGCTTTAAGGCGGACTTCGCAGACATTAACAGGCGGCCTATGTGAGCAGCTCAGCGGGGAAGAGGAGCAGCCAAGCATGTGAAAAGCTCTGTGCGTGGTTCTCTGCTCCACAGCGAGTGGGGGCCAGCCTGGGAAACGTGGGATGTTGTCTGAAGCGCATACGTGGGTTGCTTGATGCTAGGGTGAGAGTGGAGTTCCTGTGAATCTGGGGAGGAGGCAATGGCGATGTCCTAAAATGAGATGACGTGGATGGATGCACAATTTTATAAATTTACTAAAGCTCATTTGATTGCATACTGGTCACTGGATTTTTTTTGTAACATTTAAATTACACTTTAATAAAGCTATTTAAAAACACAAACACACACACAAATCTAAGGTTTGGCAGATGTAATCCAGTTGGTAGCATGCTGACTTAGCATGCATGAAGCCCCGAGTCCAATCTGTATTACATAAACTGATGGTGTACACCTGTAATGCCAGTACTCAGTAGGCAGAAGCTGAAGGTCAATCTTAAGATACTAGGCACTCCAAGGCCAGCCTAGGCCCCATGAAATCTTGTCTCCAAACAAATAAACAAAAATACAAATCCGCCTAGGAAAGCATGATGGGAACACAGCACCCAACAGGAAACAAAGGTTTCCCCGTCTGGCCGCCCTTTTACTCACATGTTTGAGAATGACATGTGAAGGATACTGACCTTTTGCGGAGATGGAAACCCAGGCCATGCCTGATGGGTCTTATGCTTTCCGAACTAAATTGCATGGTCCCTGTGGTTACCGAAAACTCGATATAAACTTACAGATTCTAAGAATAGACAACACTGACCTCGCCAGAGCAAATAAAGAGGAGTGTGAGAAGCCATTCAAACATCCAAACTGCCTGAACAATGCAACATGCACTGTATAATCAGTTCAGTCTAGAAACATCCCATCTGCAGCAGCCAGGGCTGATCGGGTAACCTAGGTAATAACCATCTTCTAAGGCATGAAGGGGTTTACAGGAAAACTTTCTGTCTAGTTCTCCCTCTCCACGGAGATGCAAACAAAACAAAATGATTTAATAATAAACAAGGTAAATTTAGAATAAACACAAACAGCACTGACAGTAACTGCCATCAAATACCGCATAACTTTAATGTAACTCGGATATTCCTGCAAGCAGTTTCCTTGGTGATCATTAAGACTAGACAAGACAGGGCAGGCGAGATGGCTCAGCAGGTAGAGATGCTTGCTGCTAATGTTGATGACTTGAGTTCGATCCCCATCACTCACATGGTGGAAGGACAGAATTGACTCCTGAAAGTGCTCTCTGACCTCTATGCATGCACCATAGTACATGAACACACACATAGACACACACACAAAAAAAAACCTGTAATTTTTTAAAAATTAAAAAGAAGAGGCAAAGTATTTTTTAAAAGATTTATTTATTTTTATTTTATGTGTGTGAGTGTTTTGCATGAATGGCTGCCGTGTGCCTGGTATCTGAGAAGACCAGAAGAGGGTACCAGATTCCCTGAAATCTAATGGTACTACTGATGGTTGCGAGCTGCCATGTGGGTGCTGGGAACCAAACCCAGGTTCTATGCAAGAGCATCAGGTGATCTTAACTGCTGAGTCTCCTCTCCAGTCCTGTGGAGTACATTCCAGAATTAATTCCTAATTCCAGAATTAGGAAGCAGGAAGGTCAGGAGTTCAAGGAACACTGGCTGCACAGTGAGTCTGAGGTCAGCCTGCAACTGGGACCCTACCCTAAAGTCAACCTAGGGCTGGGATGTATCTCAGTTGACAGACTGCTTTCCTAGTGTGCACAAAAGCCTAGTTTAGGTCTCCAGAATGCCATGAAGCTGTGCGTGGTATCACACACCTACAATCCCAGCATTTAAGAGGTAGAAACAGGAGCATACGGTGTTTAAGGTAATCCTTGGCTACATAGAGCTCAAGGCCAGCCTGGGCTACATATGACACTGTTCTAGAAATATCTAGTAATAGACAAGGAAGACAGTTCAGATCTGGTGCCAAATGCCTGAAGTTCTAGCATTTGGGATGTGGAGGCAGGAGGACTACTACGAGTTGCAAGTTCAAGGCCAGCCTGGGCTGCACTGTGAGTGCTCGTCACAAAAGCAGAGAAGGGCTGGACGGATGATTCAGTTGGCAGAGCGAGTGCTACGCAAACTGCTGAGCTGTTTGGATCCCCAGCACCCAGGTAAGAACCCAGCATGATGGAAATGTGTGTGTGTGTGTGTGTGTGTGTGTGTGTGTGTGTGTGTGTGTATGTACAGCCGCAGAGCTGGAGGGCAGACAGGCAGATTTCTGAGGCTTGCTGGCCAGCCAGCCCAGCCGAAAAGGTCAGTTCCAGGGGCAGTAAGAGATCCTGCCTCAAAAAATAAAGTAGTGTGGCTACTTGTCTATTTGGCACAACCTAGACTCACACAAGGAGAGACTCAGTGAGGGACTGTCTACACTGGATTGGGCTGTGCCTATGTGGGGTGGGTGCCTTGGCCTGTGGGATGTGTCTGTGTGGGGTGGATGTCTTGGCCTGTGGGTGTGCCTGTGTGGGGGTGGGTGTCTTACGTTAATTGATGTGAGCCAAGCCAATCCACCATAGCTGGATGTGAAGTAGTGGAGAAATCAAGCTGATGGGCAAGCAAACTGTACTCAAGAGTTCATTTCCCTTTGCTCTGGATGTGACGCGACTGGCTATTTGAAGTTCCTACCTCAACTTCCCCACAATGACGGGCTGGAACCTGGAATTGTAAGCTAAAATGAACCCTTTGGTTGGGGCTGGAGAGATGGCTCAGCGGGTAAGAACACTGACTGCGTTTGCAGGGGATCTGAGTGCAAGTCCCTGCACTCACATGGCAGCTCACAACTGTTTGTAACTCCAGTTCCAGAGGCTCCAACACCTTCACACAGACACACATGCAGGCAAAACACAATGCACATATAATAAAAATAAATAAATGAATAAACCCTTTGTCTTCTGAGTTGCCTTCGGTTAGGTATTTTACAGAGCAACAGAAATAAAACTAGGAGAGGTGGAGAACAATAGAAGCAGATCACCAAAGTCAACCTCTGTTCATGCATGAGTGGGTGAGCACACCCCTCGCCCCCCCCCCACACACCAAGCATGTGCACATGACTGTCTGACAGTTGACATGGACCAGGCCTGACATGGACCAGGTCCGGGGAGATGACCATGACCACCGGCTTGCACACCCCTTACCTCGATATCCCGATTCAGTTGTTTCACAATGGCAGTTATATTCCTGATATGCTCTTCCAAGAACAGCCTGGCTAAGCGGTCACCTCCCCCTTTGTTCTGCATCTTCTGCAAACTGCTGACGATGTCATCTTTGATGCGGAAGGCATGCTCCACCAGGGCTGCCGTGGTTTTCTCATGACAGAGGATCCTGTCTTCCAGCTGCTCCACCAGGCTCACGGAAGAATAGGGTGCCATGGTCAGGGACTGGCTGTGTCGGGGCATGGTCCTCACTCGCCTGCGGAAGGGAGCCACAGGGTTACAAGTGGCTGGTGGGGAAATGTAATCTTTCAAACCAGATTTTAGACTCCCCAAAGAAAGACATACAAATTGTCTGTCTCCATTAACAAATGGGATTCAAGGAAAAGTTTCTACATAACAGAGTTTTCTTTGGGAGCTAGACAGGACTTTAAGGTGACTGTGCCCATGGAATTAAGTGGGCCCTTAGCAGGCTCTGTGGCCTCCAGGAAGCAGAAGGCTTCCCCTTATGAGGTGTGATAGCCAGAGCAAGCTGACCCCAGAGGTCTGTTGACCTACTGCCTCCCTCTCCGGTCCCCAAAGCAGTGGCCATGAACTCCAGTCTCTAGGGGCCAGGCAGTTCCAGAAATGAGGAACAGACATCTTACAGGAGGCAGTCAGAAGGGCTGGGGACTCTGGGGAGTAAGAATATCCCCTAGGGTACCATGGTTCTGTTTCACTCATAAAAAGAAATGAGGTCCTTTATAAAATTTATTTGTTTTGAGGGGCTATCAAAATGATACTGCAAGATGAGTTAGGAAAATCAGAAGTGGCTGTGAGATCACCTCACTCTTTAAATGATGGTTCATTTAGCAAGGACTTATGATAGGCAGGCTGTGCAATGCCTTTCTGAAAGCCAGTGTTTTCCCCACAGGCATCCAATAAGCAACTCCCGATTTCAAAGGGCTAATGGGAACATTTGCCTCAAGCTCCACAGTGATTTCACCGTTGGCAGGAAACCCAAGTCGATTGCAGAGTCACTGTGAAATCTCTGCCTTTGGGGGTCATGGAGTGGTCCATAGGAGCCAGGATGTTAAAATGCAAGTTTTCTTGTCCTTAAACAAAATGACCTTTTACAATGTGATGGCCACAGGCTCTCTCTATCATAACCCTCACACCCTCTAGCAACCCTTGTGGGATGGGTAGAAAGAAAATTTATACCTTAGATGCATATTTTCCAGATAGTATACCCTTCCTGGGTGACAAGAGAAGGAAATACAGTGTCCTGTTGGGCCATTTTCTTTTTAATAATTCACATCTGTTGGGAAAAAAATAAGTGCTAAATTATTGAACAGTTTATACCTAGGGCATAAAGGACCTCAAACTCTGATTATTTAAGATACCAGGAGGCTCCTAAGTTGTGTGGATACACCAGTCAGCTATAGTTGTAAATGCTTTTGACTACACCCACGAAATAAAAACCAAGTGCTTCCCAAGAAGGGGGAAAAGGTTTGAAAACCGAAGGCTTCTGACACTGGGGCAGCATCAAATGGAGGTTCCAGAAGTTTCCTCATTCCCTACTTGCATCTAGATCTTGAAAAGGACTTTCCCAGAAGCAAGACCCTCACCTCACCTCCTTAAATACCGGGCCTAGAACCCAGTCCTTCGCCCATGCTAGGTAATTGCTCTGCCACCCAGCGACACCTCCAGTTCCCAAAGCAATTTCCTTAATAGATTTATTCAATCTTGTACTTCTCTGTAGAGATTTTGAATAAACCACGTTAGTAAATCTGATTTGGTGAGCAATTAAGAACGCTTGTTCTTGTTTCTAAATGAATCAAAACTAAAAAAACAATGCATGTTTAACAGAAGCTGATTTGGGGGAACCTATCTACTCACGAAGAGAATGGCATGGATATGCTTAATTGAAAAACTTGGTTATAAAAGATAACCATTCATGCCAAATCTTACCTATGCACATTATTTGGAGGTCGCAATTCACCAGAAAACTGGAGTTTTTCAAAGGTTTTAGAACTTAGGTTTCCCAAGCCCGTGGTTAATTGGCTTAAACAATGAGTGCTGGTACCGAGGAGCCGATTCTGGAATTAGCCCACTCCGACGCTGGATTGAGAGACATTTCTGACTGACACCATTGTTTTGGCATCAGTTCTCCGGTGTTTTATTTTTAGACTTTCAAAATGTGAACATTTCACTTCTCCAGACAAAGAGCCTCAATTTTTAAACAAATTACATTTAAGAGGACAAAAAGTAACTTATGTCAAATAGGCTATGATGTTCAACGAGGTCTTGGGTGCGGAAGAATTTCTACCATTTCAACAAAATAGAATCATAGAACGTGGAAACTTGGACGCATAGAATACTTATACTTTCGAGGTTACATGACACTTTTATGTGTCATTAATGAAACAGCCCAACTAAAAACTCATTTAGCATCTATTAGAAACCATCCACACCTGTTTGGCAACCCCCAGTCAGAACTGCCAGCAATTAAGAAATTATCTTCAACCGTAGAGTTCTTTACTGAGACTCTCAGTCCCATTCATTACAAACCAAAGGCCGGATGTAGACTTTGGCCATCCCTTCACTGAGGCTGATGCTACCTACCTGCCTGAGCTACAGAAACCCCAATCAGACGAACCATGTGAAAGAGGAGAGGATACACCCTTGACTCCCAGACAGGCTCGCTCAGCCCCAGCACTTCCATTATCTGTCACTGACTCCATGATATTAGATTTCCTATGGCATAAGTTTATCAAACACTCCAGCATATGCTTGGGGTTGGCGACCTTCCGAGGGTGCTGCAAGAATCTATTCATCCGTTTAGTCACCTGGTTGGTTGGCACCAGGACTCTTTGCCACAGTAGTGTGAGGGAATCTCCACTTCAGCTGAACTAGAGGCTACTAATCAATCACTAGATTAAGCCCCTTCCCAGGCGGTATTTCCAGATCTTCCCATGGTCAACTCCAGTGTGCCTGCCTGATGTTAGCATCTCCCATTAGTTTGCGGGTCGGCTCTCTGACAAATGGGTCTACGGTGTACACAAGAAGGTCAGGGTCATGCGCTACTCTGATTGTGTCGTATGGCCCTGAGGTTTGCTTTTGTGGGGGTGTATTTTATTTTGGGATGGGGTTTTATCCGTCTTGGAAGCAAACAGCCTTAGCCACTGGGGTATCCCACCAACCCTCTTAAACTTCAGGTTTTAGAGATCCTGCAAATTTTCCATTCTTGCTACCACAGCCCTGGTGCGGGAGAATTGTCTGTATTCTGTCAATCATGTTTTAAATAAACGCTGATTGGCCAGGCAGGAGGTGTAGGCGGGAAAACGAGACAGGAAAGTGGAAATGATGAAAAGAGAGTAGGAGGAATTCTAGGGAGGAGGAAGCTGATTCCCCCACTTCTGCCCAGATCACCGAAGCAGCAGGATGTGAGCTGCCCCACTGAAAAAGGTACTGAGCCACATGCTAACATAGATCAGAAAAATGGGTTAATCAAGATGTGAGAGTTAGCCAGTAAGAAGCCTGACCTAACGGGCCAATCAATATTATCACTTACGGAGTCCTGTGTGGGTGATTTTCTCTGGGACTAAATAATTGTGGGGACCTGGTGGGAGGACAGAAAAACCCACAAACAAGCAGGCCCGACCTCTTCATGTTACAGAATGGCGCCCACGTAGATAGCTGCATCCACAAGAAGCCTGAGAAAGTTTGGGAAAGACTAGACTAAGGCAATTCAGTTTTCAGCCTTAGCAGGAAAAAAGCTGCGCTGTTTTAAAATGCTGGCTTTCTGGGCCATCCGGCCAGGGAAAACTTTGACTCTTTGAAGCAGGCCGTCTTGACTATGGAAACACTGTTGCAACTTGCTTCCTGGCAAGGACCTTGAAACGCCTTAAGAGCTTTTGAGTGTTGTCTTCTCCATATTCCTTAGCAAATTAAAGACCCATGTGGTCAGAAAAAGAGAGATATACAGTAAGGAGAGATTCAAAGAATAAGAAAACCTCTAAATGGTTTACAGTGTGTTAAAAATATATGCAGGCTTGGAAGAAAAAGGTTTAAAGCCTTAAAATAAAAAAGAAAGAAAGAGAGTAGTTAGGTGTGGTGGAACACACCTTTAATCCCAGCACTGGGGAGGCAGAGACAGATGGATCTCTGGGAGTTCAAGGATAGCCTGGTCTACAGAGGGAGTTCTAGGACAAAGATATGCAGAGAACCTGTCTCAAAAAGCCAAAAGTTAAAAGTAAAAATTAAAGAAATAGAGGTTAAAATAAAGCCACGTAAAGATGGAAAATACACAGAGAATCTTGATACTGCATGCTATTATGCTCTCTTTGAATTGTTTAAATGCTGAGGAAGGAGCAACAGCTGCTAAAAGATATTTGCTTATAAATGCTGCAGATTTAATCCAAGATAGATATTTTGAAAATACCTTGGCTTCAAAATTTAAGTCAAAAGGTATGTTACTTTGGAGAAGAGATTTTGCTTTTGTTTCCACAGAAAATGAGAGGCTCTGGATTTATTCAGAGTTAAGAAAAATCATCTTTGACCAAGGGAGACCACCTGAGCAATCTCCGGTAGGAACAGATGGCCCAGATGTCTGAGTTCTTCATCCAGAACAGGTTCAAGACTGCTGCCTGAGATGATCAAGACTCACAGGATACTTCAGTCAGGACTTGATTATAACCCTAAATTTTCTTTAGGTCCCCATAAGATTATCAGCGCCTCCAACCAGCAGGAAGTAGCCTGAAATACTATGCCCACATTCCCCAAAAAAAATTGGCCTATGGATATTTTCCTTTTTTTAAAAAAAAAAAAAAAGAGGGGGAAGTGGTGCAGGAGAATTGTCTGTATTCTGTCAATCATGTTTTAAATAAACACTGATTGGCCAGGTAGGAGGTGTAGGCGGGAAAATGAGACAGGAAAGTGGAAATGATGAAAAGAGAGCAGGAGGAATTCTAGGGAGGAGGAAGCTGATTCCCCCACTTCTGCCCAGATCACCGAAGCAGCAGGATGTGAGCTGCCCCACTGAAAAAGGTGCTGAGCCACATGGCTAACATAGATCAGAAAAATGGGTTAATCAAGATGTAGAGAGTTAGCTAATAAGTGACCTAATGGGCCAATCAGCTTTATAACTTATAGAGATCTCTTGTGTGATTTTTCTCTGGGACTAAACAGCTGGGGGAACAGGGCAGGACAAAAACCCCCAACAAACAGGCCCACTCATGTTACACAGCCCCAATGCCATGCCTGCTTGCCCTCCATGAGAAGCAGCCCTAACCTGGCTTAGCACAGATGCCTGGGACAGGACACCCAAGAGCAAGAGCAATCTTACCACTGTTCTGTCATATGCATAGACCAACAGTTTCTTGCTCTCCTTTCCTCTCCCATCTGACCCCAGAGTCCCCCTTCTTCATACATGACTTAGCTCCATGTAGCCTAAACCAGTCTTGACCTCACTAGGTAGCCAAGAATGACCGTGATCTTCAGATTCCCGTGCTTCTACCTCTGAGTGCTAACAGTACAGATACTCACCACCATGCCCGGTCTACACAGAACATGGGAATCCAACTTAGGGTCTGTCTACTCCAGACAAGCATTCTACCAGCTGAGCTACATCCCCCAGTCCCTGATTGAGGCTACTTTTAAACGTTGTGCTAGATTGCTGTGCTAGATCACTGGATTTGCCTCTGTGGTGTGAAGGGTCACTCTCTGGCTACGACCTCTTTTGGTGAGGGAAGAAGGGCTGTGCAGCTCAAACCAGGATACCTAATTTTCCAAAGTCAACACATCCAACTTGACCAGACCAAGGAAAGAGCACAAGGAACAGCCACAGCTGTCCACGACTCCCCAACAGGCCTCAGACAGCAGGCTAACACAAGAAATCAGGCCTGGCTTTCTTCTTTGTAGGCAGCTGACCTGGCCCACCCCAAGATCAGAAGTTTGGAGACCAGGTGAGTCATTCCCGGAAAAAAGTATCCTAACTCAGCATATTCAAGGATGGAGGTGGCATTTTTGTTGTGATGTGGATCCGGGAGAACTAGCGAGCCATTTGGACCGTATGTGGTCCGTGAGGCTGTGGATCCTCACACTCAAATATGCAGTGTTGTACATTCCTGGCCAATGAGAGATGACTCCCCTTCACCACTCTTTGACACTATCCGGATCCTAAAGCACCCCCAGAAACCTCCACTGCCTTGGAAGAGGCAAGACGAAGGCTTAACCACTTTAAATGTTGTGACAGTAATCTTGTTTGCTTCCCTGTTTGCCATAGGCTCTCTCTGTTTAGTCCAGGCTGGCCAATAA